TGATATAGAACAGACTAAAGACTACACTATATATTATACTATGAACTAAAGACTATACTATAGTCGAGAGCATAAACTATACTTTAGTCGAGGCTATAGACTATACTATAGTCGGGACTATAGGTTATACTTTAATCTAGACAATAGACTATACTATAGTCGAGACTATAGACTATACTATAGTTGAGACTATAATCGAGACTACAGACTATACTATAGTCAAGACTATATACTATATTATAAACTATGATATAGAACAGAATAAAGACTATTCTATTCTATATATATATACTATAGTCGAGAGCATAAACTATACTTTAGTCGAGGCTATAGACTATACTATAGTCGGGACTATAGACTATACTATAGTCGGGGCTATAGACTATACTATAGTCGATATTATAGAGTATATTATAGTCGAGATTATAGACTATACAATAGTCGATGCTAGATACAATACAGCGTTCGAGACTATAGTCTATACTATAGTCGAGAGTATAGACTATACTATAGTCGAGACTTTAGACTATACTATAACAGAGACTACAGACTATTATATAGTCGAGACTATAGACTATAATATAGTTAAGAGCATATACTATACCAAAGTCGGGACTATAGACTGTGATATAGTAGAGACTATAGACTATGCTATAGTCGGGTCTATATACTATTACATGTATAGTCCAGAGTATAGACCATACTATGGTCGAAACCATAGACTATACTACAATAGAGACTATAGAATATACTATAGTTGGGAATATAGACTGTGATATAGTCCAGACTACTGTCGGGATGTATTCTATGATATAGTCTATAGTATCGACTATACTAGTTTAATCTATAGACTAAGCCCCAGCCTATAGTCAATGCTATAGTTGGAGCTATAACCTATAAACTATCAGCTATTGAATTAAAACTTCTCTATAAAATTTCACCTTGATTAAACCTTTGCAGTCTTTAATTTTAATTATACAATTTAAAATTATCAAATTCGAAATTTTTATTTTTGCGAAAAATCATAATGAATTTCAATTTATTTAAACACCTGGTTTTTTTAAAAAAAGCATAAATTTGCTCACGTTAATGACAAATGTTTTAAAATATATACAAATAAATTGTATATTTATTGTTTTAAGTATTCTACACAATTAAACCATTAATTCAATTGCAATATTTTTGCAATATTTAAACAGGGGTATAATATTTGTATAATTTCTCAAGCATTAAATATTTATTGAATTTTAATTTCTATTTAACGAAACAAACAACTTAATTGTTTAAAAAATATTTATTTAAAATATATGAATCAGCAAAGTAACTTTGGACTTGAAGAAGTAATATATGACGAAATTTGTTTTATACGAAATATTTTATTATAATATAAATAATAAATAAACATTAATAAATAAACATTACCTTTGTTCACATGTACCATGCTTTAACTTTTCTACTGTGTTTTAGGTAATTGTTGAAATAAAAATTTAAAAGAAGAGAAGAATAAATACCTGAAAAGAAACAGAGAAATATGAAAATTAATAATTGGAAAGTTATAAATTGTTTATAAATTTAAATTAAATTTAGATATTCCAGAGTGCTTTATTGATCCATACATTAATAAGATGATTATCTTTGGTAGTTAAACCTTCATTTTTAACTGGTACTTTAAATTGTACACTAAAGGATAAATCTACACATAAGCGATCATTTTATTGAACGGTAATCTGCTTATAATAGGAATCTTTTTTTGATACTATTTCATTATTAGAATAATTTTTGAATATTCTTAATAACCATAACACTTAACATAATTCTATAGCCTTGACTATAGATCAGTTTATTATATAGTCTAAGGATAGACGATAGATCATTATGTAATATAGACTATACATTAGGTTTGTGTTCTACAATAGACTATAGTAGTCTAGTCTATAGTCTAGTCTATAGTCTAGTCTATAGTCTAGTCTATAGTCTAGTCTATAGTCTAGTCTATAGTCTAGTCTATAGTCTAGTCTATAGTTTAGTCAATAGTCTACTCTATAGTCTAGTCTATAGTCTAGTCTATAGTCTAGTCTATAGTTTAGTCAATAGTCTAGTCTATAGTCTAGTCTATAGTCTAGTCTATAGTCTAGTCTATAGTCTAGTCTATAGTCTAGTCTATAGTCTAGTCTATAGTCTAGTCTATAGTCTAGTCTATAGTCTAGTCTATAGTCTAGTCTATAGTCTAGTCTATAGTCTAGTCTATAGTCTAGTCTATAGTCTAGTCTATAGTCTAGTCTACAGTCTAGTCTATAGTCTAGTCTATAGTCTAGTCTATAGTCTAGTCTATAGTCTAGTCTATAGTCTAGTCTATAGTCTAGTCTATAGTCTAGTCTATAGTCTAGTCTATAGTCTAGTCTATAGTCTAGTCTATAGTCTAGTCTATAGTCTAGTCTATAGTCTAGTCTACAGTCTAGTCTATAGTCTAGTCTATAGTCTAGTCTATAGTCTAGTCTATAGTCTAGTCTATAGTCTAGTCTATAGTCTAGTCTATAGTCTAGTCTATAGTCTAGTCTATAGTCTAGTCTATAGTCTAGTCTATAGTCTAGTCTATAGTCTAGTCTATAGTCTAGTCTATAGTCTAGTCTATAGTCTAGTCTATAGTCTAGTCTAGTCTATAGTCTAGTCTATAGTCTAGTCTATAGTCTAGTCTATAGTCTAGTCTATAGTCTAGTCTAGTCTATAGTCTAGTCTATAGTCTAGTCTAGTCTATAGTCTAGTCTATAGTCTAGTCTATAGTCTAGTCTATAGTCTAGTCTATAGTCTAGTCTATAGTCTAGTCTATAGTCTAGTCTATAGTCTAGTCTATAGTCTAGTCTATAGTCTAGTCTATAGTCTAGTCTATAGTCTAGTCTATAGTCTAGTCTATAGTCTAGTCTATAGTCTAGTCTATAGTCTAGTCTATAGTCTAGTCTATAGTCTAGTCTATAGTCTAGTCTATAGTCTAGTCTATAGTCTAGTCTATAGTCTAGTCTATAGTCTAGTCTGTAGTCTAGTCTATAGTCTAGTCTATAGTCTAGTCTATAGTCTAGTCTATAGTCTAGTCTATAGTCTAGTCTATAGTCTAGTCTATAGTCTAGTCTATAGTCTAGTCTATAGTCTAGTCTATAGTCTAGTCTATAGTCTAGTCTATAGTCTAGTCTATAGTCTAGTCTATAGTCTAGTCTATAGTCTAGTCTATAGTCTAGTCTATAGTCTAGTCTATAGTCTAGTCTATAGTCTAGTCCAGTCTATAGTCTAGTCCAGTCTATAGTCTAGTCCAGTCTATAGTCTAGTCCAGTCTATAGTCTAGTCCAGTCTATAGTCTAGTCTATAGTCTAGTCTATAGTCTAGTCTATAGTCTAGTCTATAGTCTAGTCTATAGTCTAGTCTATAGTCTAGTCTATAGTCTAGTCTATAGTCTAGTCTATAGTCTAGTCTATAGTCTAGTCTATAGTCTAGTCTATAGTCTAGTCTATAGTCTAGTCTATAGTCTAGTCTATAGTCTAGTCTATAGTCTAGTCTATAGTCTAGTCTATAGTCTAGTCTATAGTCTAGTCTATAGTCTAGTCTATAGTCTAGTCTATAGTCTAGTCTATAGTCTAGTCTATAGTCTAGTCTATAGTCTAGTCTATAGTCTAGTCTATAGTCTAGTCTATAGTCTAGTCTATAGTCTAGTCTATAGTCTAGTCTATAGTCTAGTCTATAGTCTAGTCTATAGTCTAGTCTATAGTCTAGTCTATAGTCTAGTCTATAGTCTAGTCTATAGTCTAGTCTACAGTCTAGTCTATAGTCTAGTCTATAGTCTAGTCTATAGTCTAGTCTATAGTCTAGTCTATAGTCTAGTCTATAGTCTAGTCTATAGTCTAGTCTATAGTCTAGTCTATAGTCTAGTCTATAGTCTAGTCTATAGTCTAGTCTATAGTCTAGTCTATAGTCTAGTCTATAGTCTAGTCTATAGTCTAGTCTATAGTCTAGTCTAGTCTATAGTCTAGTCTATAGTCTAGTCTAGTCTAGTCTAGTCTAGTCTATAGTCTAGTCTATAGTCTAGTCTATAGTCTAGTCTATAGTCTAGTCTATAGTCTAGTCTATAGTCTAGTCTATAGTCTAGTCTATAGTCTAGTCTGTAGTCTAGTCTATAGTCTAGTCTATAGTCTAGTCTATAGTCTAGTCTATAGTCTAGTCTATAGTCTAGTCGATAGTATATAAAATAAAACACTTAACAAAATTTTAGTTTAAAACAATTATAACTGTACAAATTGCTTTTTTGCATAATTTTATTGCAGCTCATTAAGCGCAATTTAGATAATATTTCTCTAACTAATGAAAGGCAGATTGTAATAAATAAATTTTTAAAATAATTTCATTTCTATAAAAACATCACAATTAGAATATGTTTTACATAAAATTAACCATAATATTGAATCTTCTGATTTTGCTACAAATTAAAGGAGAAGTCCCAACAAAGGTATTAAAATTTGGAATTTTTTCTTGAAATTTCTTTTAAAAACTCTTTTTATAGCGCAATTTTTATTTCGGTTTTACTCGCATGCAATGTCTACACAATTCATCGGATATAGTGCGGGAATTTAGTTGCTCTCTAAGATCGTCTGATAAAAATCGCTTTAACATGTTTGATGCTTATTTTATATTTGCGCAACCCTTTATCAGTTTCGATATGCAGGCTGTTATAAATATTTTTCCCAAGAAATCACGTCAATGGACTTTATTTAATGTGCGTCTAAATGGTTGTAAATTTCTGGAAATGGCACATCGTCAGGCATTTTTTCGTATATTCACCAAGACTTTGAATAAGTATATGAATGTTAAGAAGTTAAAGTGTCCCATGAGGGAGGTAAGAGAATTGTATAGACTTAATCTTTAAAATTTTTGTTCATATTATTAAATGTTTAGAATTTCAATTATACCGTAAGTGGTTTCAAATATGATGAATATGATTTTCCATCTTATATGCCGGAGGCTGAAGTTCAGGGCATTTTACATGTATTTGTTGAAAATAAGAAAATTGCTTTTTCAACTTTATGGGGTTATGTTAAATATTATTAAAAATCCGAAGCTAGATGTAGTGGGAATCGAACCCATGACCTCTAAACTAATGGACTAAAGTAGTACTTACTACCGTCAAAATTATGGTCCCATTGAAAACTCAACTCTATAAATCCTCATCTAAACTTTTAATAATATTAATTCCTACTTTAACATATTATTTTAAACATTATCACAATTTTTTTTTTTTTTAAATTTAAAAGAAACAAAAAATTATGCATAAAAAACCCACATTTTGCGGTTTTCAATTGTTAATTAACATTCGCGAGACCAAAAAAAAACTCTATGTTGTCAACATTTCCATCTTTTGTGTTAATAATTAAAAAAAAATTGCACAAAAAAATGTGCATATCATTAAAATTGAATACATGTATAATCATTATATGCTACGAATAAAAATGAGTAAAAAAAAACATATTTATTAATAATACATTTACCATGAGATGGAAATAATTCAAATTCATAATAAGTTATTGTTAAATGTAATTAAATAAAAACCGCAATTATTTTATTCATATTTATATAAATATATTAAATAAAAAAAAAAAAGAAAATTTACACAGAAAACAAAATCAGTCATTCTAAAGTTACCATCTGACAGCAGATGTTGTGAACATGACAGCTAACAACATCGGGCGGTCTTTGTGGGAGTTCAAAAAGAAGAAAAAACTCTATAAGGGGTACTACTGCCTAAAGTAAATATATTTGCTAACAAATATAAGAATGAATGTTAACTGATTTTTACAACAATAACTATTGCAGCTAAGGAATAGAGTAGTTCAATCCTAATAGATTATCTATCATTCTTGATCAGCCTATCTATAGTCTCGACTATGGGGTTTCGAGTATGAATCAGTAAATATTATAAGTCCGGAGTCTTGACCATAGATCAGTCTATAGTCTTGACTAAAGATCAGTCTGTAGTCTTTATCTGTCTATTGTCTTGACTATAAATCAGACTATATTCTTCAACATAGATCAGACTGTAGTCTTGACTATAGATCAATCTATTGTCTTGACGATAGAGCAGTCTATGGTCTTGACTATAGATCAGTCCATAGTCTTGACTGAAGATCAGTCTATAGTCTTGACTACAGATCTGTCTATTGTGTAGACTATAGATCTATCTATAATCTTGACTATAGATGAGTCTGTAGTCTTGACTATAGATGAGTCCGTAGTCTTGACTATAGATGAGGGTATAGTCTTGACTATAGATGAGTCTATAGTTTTGACTATAGATGAGTCTTTAGTCTTGACTATAGATGAGTCTATAGCCTTGACTATAGATGAGTCTATAGTCTTGCCTCTGGATGACTCTATAGTCTTGCCTATAGATGAGTCTATAGTCTTGAATATAGATGAGTCTATTTAGTTTTGACTATAGATGAGTCAATAGTCTTTACTATAGCTGAGTCTATTGTGTTGACTATAGATGAGTCTACAGTCTTGACTATAGATGAGTCTATAGTCTTGATGAGTCTATAGTCTTGACTATAGATGAGTTTATAGTCTTGACTATAGATGAGTCTATAGTATTGACTATAGATGAGTCTATAGTCTTGATGAGTCTATAGTCTTGACTATAGATGAGTCTGTAGTCTTGGCTATAGATGAGTCTATAGTCTTGACTATAGATGAATCTATAGTCTTGACTATAGATGAGTCTATTTTCTTGACTATAGATGAGTCGATAGTCCTGACTATAGATGAGTCTATAGTCTTGAATATACATAGATGAGTCTATAGTCTTGACTATAGGTGAGTCTATAGTCTTGACTATAGGTGAGTCTATAGTCTTCACTATAGGTGAGTCTATAGTCTTGACTATCAGATGAGTCTATAGTCGTGACTATAGATGAGTCTATAGTCTTGACTCTAGATCAGTCTATAGTCTTGACTACAGATCAGTCTATAGTCTTAACTATAGATCAGTCTATAGTATTGACTATAGATCACTCTATAGTTTTGACTATAGATCAGTCTATAGTCTTGACTATGGGTCAGTTTATAGTCTTGACTATAGATCGGTCTATAGTCTTAACTCTAGATCAGTCTATAGTCTTGACTATAGATCAGTCTATAGTTTTGACAATAGATCAGTCTATAGTCTTGACTATGGATCAGTCTATAGTATTGACTATAGATCACTCTATAGTTTTGACTATAGATCAGTCTATAGTCTTGACTATGGGTCAGTCTATAGTCTTGACTATAGATCGGTCTATAGTCTTAACTCTAGATCAGTCTATAGTCTTGACTATAGATCAGTCTATAGTCATGACTATAGATCAGTCTACAGTTTTGACTATAGATCAGTCTATAATCTTGACTATATATCAGTCTGCAATCTTGACTATAGACTAGTCTATAACCATTGCTATAGATTAGTCTATTATATAATTCAGTCTATGGAGTTGAATACAGATCAATCTATACTGTTGAGTACAGATTAGTATATTTTCGTGGCTATATATGAGTTAAGACAATAGATCGGTCCCTATTCTTGACTACAGATCAGTTAACGTCTTAACTTAATTAAAATTTTTACAAAACTTTTGAAATTTATAAAAATTAAAATTTTCACTAAAAATTTAGGTTTGAACAGAAATTCAGATTTCAATCAAATTTACAATTTTCAATAAAAATTCAAATTTTCACTAAAAATTCAAATTTTTATTAAAAATGCAAATTTTCACTAAAAATTAACAATTTTAATAAAAATTAACATTTTTAATAAAAATTAACATTTTTAATAATAATTAAAATTTTCTCTAAAAATAAATATTTTCACTAAAAAATAATATTTTCACTAAAATTTCTTTAAAAATTAATATTTTAACGAAGAATTTAATTTCTCACTACAAATTTAAATATTCTAAAAAAATTAAAATTTTTACAAAAATCCGATTATTCACTCAAAATTTAAATATTCACCAATTTTTTTAAGGCAATTTACCTGTTACTAAGCTATTGATAATATAATATTCTATCGAACAATTTTTTACATTTAATACAAATTAAAGATTTATGTCTATGCTAATTTTCTCTTTCAAAACTAAACTAATATAATTTATTTATTTAAAAAAAATTGCAATTTTAATTATATTTTAAAATGACAAGATAAATTTAATTATACATTTGCATAAATTTTATTTTTTTTCTGTAATTAAATACACAGAAAAAACTGCACATGCCCCCACACATTTTTCTTTACTTATTATAGAATATAATTAAAAATTAATAAATTATACATGACATATTAGAAATGACATCATGCTGGGTATGAGAAAATAACAATTATTGTGGAAAAAAAATATCGATTAAGATGAATTATTATTTAATGAATCATTATAGACTTTATGTTATCTTTTGACCTTTTAAAGTTTTGTCAAAATAAATATTTTTAATTCCCTTTTAAAAATTTAGATATAAATATTATTTATATTTTTAATACATTTTCATATTAAAAACACTTTAAACTGAGTATTTAACTAATAATGGAAATATATATTTACGTATTTTATTAAGCCTAAAAGCAATCATTTAAAAATTCAATTAATTAAAGCCTTAAGGTAGGCTATGAAATAATTTTTTCGCCGAAAAACATTTAATAATCCCTAAAGTGTGTTGTGCAATGCCAAACCATAAAATGGCAACAAAAACAGTAGCAGTAAACAGAGTTGGCAAAATTAGTACAATTGTAATTCATTTGGTACAATTCGATATATAGTCTTGTCTAATAGTCTAGTCTATATTCTAGTCTATAGTCTAGTCTATAGTCTAGTCTATAGTCTAGTCTATAGTCTAGTCTATAGTCTAGTCTATAGTCTAGTCTATAGTCTAGTCTATAGTCTAGTCTTAGTCTAGTCTATAGTCTAGTCTATAGTCTAGTCTATAGTCTAGTCTATAGTCTAGTCTATAGTCTAGTCTATAGTCTAGTCTATAGTCTAGTCTATAGTCTAGTCTATAGTCTAGTCTATAGTCTAGCTATTCTAGTCTATAGTCTAGTCTATAGTCTAGTCTATAGTCTAGTCTATAGTCTAGTCTATAGTCTAGTCTATAGTCTAGTCTATAGTCTAGTCTATAGTCTAGTCTATAGTCTAGTCTATAGTCTAGTCTATAGTCTAGTCTATAGTCTAGTCTATAGTCTAGTCTATAGTCTAGTCTATAGTCTAGTCTATAGTCTAGTCTATAGTCTAGTCTATAGTCTAGTCTATAGTCTAGTCTATAGTCTAGTCTATAGTCTAGTCTATAGTCTAGTCTATAGTCTAGTCTATAGTCTAGTCTATAGTCTAGTCTATAGTCTAGTCTATAGTCTAGTCTATAGTCTAGTCTATAGTCTAGTCTATAGTCTAGTCTATAGTCTAGTCTATAGTCTAGTCTATAGTCTAGTCTATAGTCTAGTCTATAGTCTAGTCTATAGTCTAGTCTATAGTCTAGTCTATAGTCTAGTCTATAGTCTAGTCTATAGTCTAGTCTATAGTCTAGTCTATAGTCTAGTCTATAGTCTAGTCTATAGTCTAGTCTATAGTCTAGTCTATAGTCTAGTCTATAGTCTAGTCTATAGTCTAGTCTATAGTCTAGTCTATAGTCTAGTCTATAGTCTAGTCTATAGTCTAGTCTATAGTCTAGTCTATAGTCTAGTCTATAGTCTAGTCTATAGTCTAGTCTATAGTCTATAGTCTAGTCTATAGTCTAGTCTATAGTCTAGTCTATAGTCTAGTCTATAGTCTAGTCTATAGTCTAGTCTATAGTCTAGTCTATAGTCTAGTCTATAGTCTAGTCTATAGTCTAGTCTATAGTCTAGTCTATAGTCTAGTCATAGTCTAGTCTATAGTCTAGTCTATAGTCTAGTCTATAGTCTAGTCTATAGTCTAGTCTATAGTCTAGTCTATAGTCTAGTCCATAGTCTAGTCTATAGTCTAGTCTATAGTCTAGTCTTTAGTCTAGTCTATAGTCTAGTCTATAGTCTAGTCTATAGTCTAGTCTATAGTCTA